ATCCCTCCCAGTTCCTCCCAGTTCAGCCCTTTCCCAGTCCATCCCCTTCCCAGTTCACCCTTCCCAGCTCATCCCTCTCAGTTCATCCCTTCCCAGTTCACCCCTTCCTAACTCATCCCTCCCAGTTCTTCCCTTTCCCAGTTCTTCCCTTTCCCAGCTCATCCCTCTCCCAGTTCTTCCCTCTCCCAGTTCTTCCCTTTCCCAGCTCATCCCTCTCCCAGTTCTTCCCTCTCCCAGCTCTTCCCTCTCCCAGCTCTTCCCTCTCCCAGCTCATCCCTCTCCCAGCTCATCCCTTTCCCGGCTCATCCCCTTCCCAGTCCATCCCCTTCCCAGTTCTTTCCTCCTGGCTCATCCCTCTCCCAGCCCCATCCCTTTTCCCAGCCCTGGGTTTGTCCCCAGGGTGCCCTGGGTTTGTCCCCAATCCTGGGTTTGTCCCCAGGGTGCCCTGGGTTTGTCCCCAGCGTGCCCAGCCCCATCCCGGTGCCTGGAAAGTCTCTTTGCCCTGCAGCCAGCTTCACCGTGTCCCCCTCGGGCAGGACCCCTGCCTTTCACTCCTTTTGGTTGGCCTTTTCTCTCAGGGCTTATTTTATAAAAAATATGGATGGAGAGGGGATTTCACCACCCCCCTTTTTTCTCATTTTGGTGATACCACAGAACCTGCGAGCCTTGATCCGGTGTCACCCACCCCCTGACCCCACAGCACCCATCATCCCCACGTGGGGCTGATCTGGGGTTTTGGGCTGGACCTGGATCCCTCTGGAATTCTCTGCCTGGAATTTCCAGGGATGAGCTGTAGGCAGAGCCTGTCCTCCTGCTTGGAGCTGGGACAGAGTTCATTTTCCTCCTGGAGCTGCCCTGGGTGATAACTCAGGGATGCTTTGGGCTGGAGACTTATCTCCTGAGAGCGCATCCCCTGGTCTCTCAGCTCGGTGCTGGGAGGAGTTCTGCTCCAAAAATCATCAGGAATCGTGAAGCAATTAACTCTGTAGAGTTGTGTTGGCCCAGTTTTTGAGGTCTGCTTTGATTCCCCGCCTGCTGTGGCTGTTAATCACTATTTAATGCAGCTTTCTGCATTTTTATCATCATTTTATCTGCTGTAATTTATTGTGTGTTACCTTAACCGAGGAAGCATTTTCATGTGTTGGATGTCTGCATGTAGGAAACCCCTGCTCTGATGCCTCTCAAGTCCCAGCTGTTTTATTAATTAAAAACAAACGTTTATCAGCTTAACAGGAGGCAAAAGGGTTTTATCCCTCCTCCTGGGCACACAGTGTCCTCTGGAAATCCCAAATCCTTCCAAGGCTCCCCCAGTGCCGTGTCCCGTACCTGCAGGCGCTGCTTGGCATTCCCACGGTGCTCTCTTGGGGTCAGTAACAATTAACTGAACATTTAATTAATTTCCTAATGTTTGGGCTAAAATGGAGCGTAACAAAGCCGCCTCTGCTCTTTGCCGGTTGAAGGCAGAGCTGGAGGGAGCTGGGTGTTATCAATAATTAACCGCGCTAATTTAGGGGAAGTGTTAGGGCGTTAATGAAAATGTGAAGTGTTTAATTACCGTGCGGGGAGCTGGGAGTGCTTGCGCTGCTGAGGAAGAGGAGGTGTTGCACAATTAATTGCTGCTCCCAAGGGGACCCGGGGATGTCCCCGGGATGTCCCCAGGACGGGGCAGCTCAGGGAATGAAGATCCCTACACCCATCCCAGCCACAGGAGCCGCTGGGAGGCCCCTCCCAACCCGGCCTTTCATTAAAACTTCTGTTAATTACGTGGTGATTAAGCTGTGGAAGCCCTGGGGGGCTCAGCCTGGCCCCGAAGCCCCTCTGCAGGAGGAAGGGAGGGATAAGAGGGGTTTTCCAGGACCTGCCTGTGGTTTAGCCTGGGCTCTCCATGTCCTCCATCCCCCGTGTTTGCTGTGGGTAATAATTAATAATAATTGGGTAATGAACAATTTCTTGCCCGCTGAGGAGCGGGACTGGCTCAGCTTTGCTGCGAGGCTTGGGGTGGGTGAGGATGAGGATGGAGCCGTTGGGAAATCCAGGGAAACACGGCCGGGATGTGTCGGGAGAGGCTGGGCAAGCAGCCCGGAATGTTCTGTGGCATTTCGGGAGCGGAATTCAAGTTCGGGATGCTCGGCTGGCCGGGAAGCCCCGGCGGGAGGCTGGGGGGAGCTGTGCTGTGCTCCTGGGGAATCCCCATCCCCTGGGTTTCCTTAGCCCTGGAGCAGCCCGGGGAGGGGCAGGGATGGATCCGATCCCTGCTCGGGAAGGCGATTCCCAGCAGGAGCTTGGACAGCCTCTGGTAAATGCAGTTATTTGGGGAAAAAGTGCCGGAAAGGATGGGAAAAGCATTCATGGATGCTTGAAGGGCATCCCACTGTGCCAAAAACCACCCTGGGTCAGGGTGGCTCCAGGTGGTGGAAAAGTCTCTCCTCCA